TGACAAAAAATATGCAGATTATATCCACTATGAATATCATATTAGACATCAGTGTAGATCAGTTACGTATTACATATAAGAACCCTGTATAATGTGTAAAATAGAAAATTAGTTTAGTTTTTAAAATTTTTTTCCCTTTTATCAGGTATTGTGATTTCATACTTTTGTAATCCAAAGAATAATATTAATTTTTCTAAATTAGGAATTTCCAACTTTATTTGAATAGATGTTAATTTGATTGTTCTCAAAGACTTAATAACCTGGAAAAATATATTGCCAAGAGTACATGGTGCATTAATTTAATTTGCACAATGTATATTGCCAAGAGTACATGGTGCATTAATTTAATTTGCACAATGTATATTGCCAAGAGTACATGGAGCATTAATTTAATTTGCACCATGAAAGTTATTATGTAGCATAAATGAGCATATAATTCTAGATAGAGTAGTCAACCTACTGGGTACTGAGTTTTAAAGTTTAATTATGAGATTTAAAAAAAATTTGGTTTTCATTTTTTCTATGAGTTTCTAAAAGTCTTTTTAAAACAACATCATTTTGATGCACTTTAAACTTATATAAAAGTTGCAGGAATAGTGCAGAGAACTTCCTTATACTCATTCACCAATTGTAAAACAGTCATTTTAAAGTTAATTGTTAATTTTCTTCTTAGTAAACATTTTTGAGTCTGCTGTGTTTGAGATTTAAAATTTTGGTTAAATATTAATATTTATCAAATTAAAAATTTAAAATATGCATTCATAATATGGGACAGTTTTATTTGAAAAATTAACATATTTCTATCTCATGTTAAAGTTACATTGTAAATTGATTTATCTGTTTTTTTCCTTTTTGCCTCTTCCAAAGTAGATCTAGATTTCATATATTTCTGCTAAAAAGAGTCTCAGAGAGACTTATTATGGTCCTTAATGTACTTCACTTTAATATCTTTTCCATATTTTAGACTTATTTGCTAAGTTTAGGCTTATTTGTTAGTGGCTTATGACTTTGGAGTATGGGTAAATCTTAATAAGACAGACACCTTCAAGGCAGAAAGAAACTGTAGTAGTTCCATGATCTGGTGGAGAATCCTTCATACCCTGTTTCTGCTTTATCTAATCATAAAGATATATTTTATTTTCACCCGTTTGGCTATAAGCAGCATTTTAAAATCACTCAACTATCTTTTATAAAGATCCTTATATATTTTGGAAGCAATAATGATTAAGGGTAGTGTAAAATTACACTTGGTTAATTGTTATTTTTCTTTTGCAGTGGAATAATAGGCAGAAATAAGGCTTTATTCAAGAAACCGTTATTTAAATTTATAGCTGCTATTCCAATGGTAAACCATTGCTGAATGATGGCATGTGCTTTACCAAAATTTTATAATCTTGTGTGTTTCGCAGCTTGGGCAGCACTAAATCACTTTGGTTTTATGTAAAGTTTGGTTCAAACAATTTTAACTTAAACCTCTAAACTTTTTGTACTCTCTTAATTGCTTAATGTCTCTAATATTCTTATTGCTATAAACAACATTTCTGTGTGGTTCTATTTTAACTTTCTTCTAGTTCAACTTTTTAAAAAATATTTTTTGCTTTTTGGGATTATCAAAATTGGACTATTAATTTTTTTATCAGTCTAAAGTAACAGTAAAGTGTGTTCTGTGGAATCCTAGCTATGACAGAGGAAATGCTACATGCTACAAACCCCTCTCAGAGAATTACAGTGCACGAACAAGGGAACTTCAAAAAGTTCACAGAAAGATTACTAGTATCTTTTAATTCTGTCTGTCCGTGAGCGTTTTGAAGTACCCTCGTATTGTACATTAAAAGCTTCGAGAAGCTTTGGTAAAGACATTTGTTAGCTTTGTTAACCCAGGTTTTCCCAAATTTATTTACATACTCCTTCATAAAAAAGAAATTATTTCTTGATCGTATGTCAGTCATTTTTTTTGTGGGGAGCTAGGTTTAAATCATTTAGTCCACTGTTTCTTAAAATATATTTTGTTTCATTTGGGAATATTAATATGTGTTATTTGAAAAAGAATTATGTGATCAAATAAATTAAATCTCTTTAGTAGATCATAGTCATATCATACTTATATAACTGTGGTTTCCAAACTTTTTAGTAAGATGTGGAATGCTTACTTTAAATTATTAACGTGTATTTTAAAAACAGATAAATATGTAAAACATTAAAAACAGATAAAAGAGGAACTGGTCTACTTGATGTGTGTTAAGGGACCAGAAGCTTCTGCACAGTCTGTCTAAGGCTCTGAGGAATCCCATTGATCTCTTTGATCTATCATTTAGTTCCAGGGTTGGGAAACTAGTACCTGTACATTAGTACCTGAAGGTCAAACCTACTGTCTGTCTGGGTAAAATTTTATTAGAATACAGCCATGCTCATTCTTGGCTGCTTTTGCTCTACAATGGCAGAATTGAGTAGTTGCAACAGAGACCTTATGGCCTAGCAGAGCCCAAAATGTTTACTCTTGATCCTTTATAGTAAGAGTTAGCTATCCCTCATTAATCTATCTCCCTTACATTATTTCACACAAATGAGAATCAGGACGTTAAAATATTTAAAAACAAACAAATGCTACTTTGTCTTATCCACAGTAATACATTCCTGGGACTATAAAGTTGTTTATTGTTTTGCCCTCTAAACTCCTTTCGCTTTTTCTTTTTTTAAAAATTGCTGTTTTTACTAAGGAAAGGACTAGTTATTCTTATTTAATTTTGCCATTTGCAGAGTGAGGTTCAAGAAAGTTGTTTAAAATGATTATATTTCAGAAGCGGCAAACATTTTTCTAAGAAAATGATAGTTAGCATCTTTTTTTCTTATTGATGCTTTTGATTCAATAGAAATTTCCAAAAGTAATTTTAGAGCTTTAAAGAAATTTTCTTAGTATTATATTTTGCTTCTTTTGCAACTAATGCATTGCATGTGATGGTTTGCAGTGGTATCATTGGTCGTAGCAGAAAAGATTTCAAGAGATACTTATTCAACTTCATTGCTGTCATGCCTCTCGTAAGTTTAATTCTTTAAAAATCTTATTTACATAGGGGAAATTTGCATCTTATTAAAATCTTTAAAGATTTTTACTTATTAAATTCTTTAAA